CATTTCCTTCTTTTGGTACAAGATAAAATTGCCTAAAAAGAGTGTATGACAAACCTTATTATCTTTTGGATCAATAAGTCATCTTAAAATCAAATCTTAATAAAGACATGCTTCAACAAGGTTGACAACGATTCAAAACACCTAATAACATGAACTACTGAAGGTTCTTGTGATTTTTATATAGTATAACTAGACTTGAGGTGCCTTCTAAATAATGATGTCATTCTTAAAATGAATCTATAATTGCAAGGAGCTCTTTGTTGTGGATCTCATAATTAATCTTGGTTGTTGAAAACTTTTTAGAATAAAAAGCTATTACATGGAATTTGTCATCTGCTCCCATTTGTGATAATACTGCACTTATAGCAAAGTTTGATGCATCTATTTCCTTGAAAAATGTCTTTGAAAAGTCAACATAATATAAGATTGGTGCAAAAGTAAACTCCTTTTTTAAAGCATCAAATGATGCTTCGGCTTCTTTACTCCATTCAAGTTTGTCTTTACAAGTCAAACGTATAAGTTGAGATACAACTTGATGAAAATTCTTGATAAAGTTTTGATAGTAATGGACAAAGTTCAAAAGCATTGTACATCTCTTATTGTTCTTAGAATCTTTCAATCCATGATAGTCTAGACCTTCTTCAGATTCATCATTAGTCCTTTGTTGGAAATGATATATCCTACAAAGTCAACTTGGGTAGTGAGAAAAATATACTTTTTTAACTTGGCATATAATCTTGTATTTCTAAGTTTTTATAACATACAACAAATATGAACTTCATATTCATTTATGTTCTTAGACTAGATTAAGATGTCGTCTAAATAATAGACAATAAAATCATCAAGAAATTCAAAAAAGACATCATTTATTATATGTTATAAAATAATTCATACATTTGTGAATCCAAAAGATATGATATTATATTCAAAATTTCCATATTTGGTTCTAAACATAGTTTTTCATTCATTTCATTCTTTAATGCGTACCAGATTATATACTCCTAGTAGATCTTTTTTTGTATAGATCTTTGCTTGATTCAATTGATCGAGAAGTCTTGAAATCAAAGGTAGAAGATACCTATTCTTGATGGTGATCTTATTAAATTCTTGATAGTCCATACACATCTACAAAGATCTATCTTTTTTCTTTACAAATAAGATAGGAGCCTCGGCTAGAGATTTAAAATGACATATGAAATTCTTAGCCAAGTTCTTATCAATGTACTCCTTGACTGCAACCAACTTGTTTTGTGATAGGCTATAGATTGGTTCAAATGGTGGTTTAGCTCTTTTGTAAAGATCTATGGAACAATCATAAGGACGATGCTTTGAAAGAATATCTATATTTTTTTTTTTTGCAATAATATCTTAAAAATCTTGATATTAGCTATGAATATTATTTGACATCTTTTCACCATTAGAAACAATCATGGCATTTAAAGCAAAAGATAACCCTTCTTTTTCGACATGCATAAAAGCTCTCGTATCTATTAGTAAAGGTTTGGATGTACTAGACTTATGTATTTCTACTTGAATAATAAGATTTTAGATTAAACTATCAAAAAAATTAAGATTACGAGTAATTTAATCTATCTGAAGATTATATTTTTTTAACAAAGATAATTTCAAAATAATGAGATTGGATGGAGATCTTATTACATCAAATATTACTATGCTATTATGATCTTTTATTGCTACATCTAAAGGAACAATTTCATGTATAACATCTTTAAAAGATAACGAACAACCATCTATGACTTCTATATATACATGTTTAGTTTTTTGACTAACAATATCTCTTATTTTTTTATAAAACTTTTGTCTATAAAACAGATTGAGGTTCTTGAATCTAATAAAGCTAAGACTTTGTAATTTTTTGGTTCTAAATAAACTTCAATTATAAAACATGGTGAAGGGTCTAAGGAAAGAATATGACCTTTATTAGGAATTATAAAAGATTCTAATCACATGGTTCCTATTATAACTGGAAAAACTTATTTTCCAATACATAGTCTTCTTTGGCAATCATGTTTCTTATTTTTTAATTGATGCCATCTTATAATTGGATTGCGGAGTGAATTTTATACACACCAGTAGCATCCATAATCTTTCCTTCCATAGACAACTCAAACAAGTTCAAAAAGTTAAATTAAAGGATGATAATCTGTAACTTCTAATATCAAATAAATTTTTTCATAAAGAAGGGTAATCCACTCTCTTCAAGAAAAAGATCAATATTAAAAAACAAGATTGTTTGTTCAAAGATGAGTAGTCCGCAACCTTCAAAATACAACAATAGAAGTAAAGTAATCTATTCACTTTTAAAACAAGATGAACATAGTAAGTTAACACTCTTATCAAATTATCAAGGATATGAATCTCGAAGAATGAAATCCTCAATACACTCTTGTGACACTAAAAAGAACTAAAAAGTCACTCAAAGATGATATAATATTGAACTAGAATGGCTATTGCCAAAAACTAGAAGATTAGAAAGTCTAGAATCAAGACTAAGGACTAAAAAGGTGTGGATAAGAGTGAAGAAGGCTTCCCTCTTGCTTCCATATATACTCTTAACTAGAAGCTAAGCAACAATATCCTACAAAACCTCAAAAATGTGTTGACTTTGCAAGACATGTATTTTAACTTGCAAGGTAAGTTTTTTATATGTCTGCCACACAGTTAGCTTATTTTACAAGCTATCAATACGTAATTAATTTATTGACCAAATTTCTAAGCTACCAATCAACTACAAATATATATAAAGTCAAAGCAACATCTATAAAGCATCTAAGAAGCTTCTTTAGAAGGTATCATGAAATTAATATATTTTTATTTATTTTTATCTATTTCTATTTAATCATATAGATATTTATTAGAATATATATGTATATTTGTGACAAATATTGTATTTTTTTAATATATATAAAATAAACAGCATGAAGAAAAAAATATAATTTGATACTCAAAAAATAGTTAGTTAGACCAAAATGTGCTTAAAAAAAATCTACTTTTGCATAAAAAATTTATACTTAATATAAAAAATATATAAGGAGATAATTTATTTATAATGTATAGTTCCATTAAGATTAAATTACATTAGATTGGTATGCAATAAAAAAATTCTTCATTATAATAAAAAAAAAGCTAGAATTGATAAATAAATGATTATCTAAGTAACTCAAATAATAAAGCATAAGACTTCTTAAAAATTATTTAATAGATTTTTATACAAAAATAAGAAAATATTATAAATTAAAATTTGAATTAATACATTTATTTAAGATATTAACTATTCTTGAATCAATTTTAAGTTTAAGTTTAAGTTTAAGTTTTTTATCTTTTATTTATTTAATCAACAACGTGTAATATTTATTATCTATAAAATTTATAGAGACATTTCTTATATTACTTATTTAACATAGAAGAATAGCAATGAATAAATAATACAATGAAACCAATTTAAATATTAATATTAGTTTTTTACTATTTATTCTATAATATATATATATATATATATATATATAGGAGTGTACACAAGTTCAACAAATTTGGGACTAAGTTAGATCTTTCTTGTATAGATTTGCTTCTAGTCCATAAGAATGGAAGCCATGAAAGACATTTGTATTGAATAAGAATAATACCATCCAAATTTAAGATGCTCTGTAACATATGGTCTTTAATAAGATGTTTGTAATTGGACAATTTAGATCTATATATATATATATATATATATATCTTTTAAGTATGAAGTGATCTTCACATTAAAAAAAATAAAAAAATAAAACAATATGATAAAGACTAATTAAATATAGCAAAGTTATGTAGAAAGTTATATATTCAAACATAGAAAGAGAATTTAATGATGTAAAAAAAGATGAAAAAAATCAGTTTATTAATCTATTGGGACATAAAATCGCCATAGTATAATTTGATCATTCATGAAATTATTAAAAAAAATAAAAACATACAAACAAACACAGAAACAAACAAATAAAAATAAGAAACAAAGAATCAATATTGGTTTGTTGTTCTTATATCTCCTTAGTTTAAGATCAGTAGGTTGTAAGTTTTTTTGTCTACAAGTCTCTCTACCTAATCTAAGTATCATCCATACCCCGTTTTATTGTCAAAGGAAAAAAATAATAATAATAATAATAAGAAAAAGAACCAGAAGTTGTCGACCTTCTCTCGTCCACTTCCAAAATTCTTTGTCTCCTTCCAACCTTCTTCGTCCGCTTTCGTGCTTCTCCGTTTGCTCCCAACTTTTCCCGTTTGCTTCCGACCTTCTTCGTTTACTTCCGACTTTCTTCGTCCACTTCCGAACTTATTCGTCTACTACCGACCTTCTTCGTTTACTTCCGACTTTCTTTGTCTACTTCCTACTTGCGTCGTCCACTTTCGTGCCTCGTTGTCTGCCTCAGAGGAGTTTCATCACAATCTCTGCCTCACGCCAGTTGCATTCATGGAGACATTGCGGCTCTTTCCGACTGTGGTTTCTTCCTTTGCTGGTTCGACTTATCTCATTCGGTTTCCCACAACTTCGTTGCCTTCGTAACTTTCTTAGCAAGGGAGTTTAGAAACTTAGTAGTATTTTGCGGTCAAACGGATAAGTAAGCCTCGATCGAGGATTTAGAACCCATTGTTTCGGTTACTGTGTTTATGGTCGCTTGCTTTTGCAGAATCGAATTGCATTTTCTTTGCACTCCCAGCGGAATTTCTGTTTATTTGTTACCATGGTCTTGGAGGAGATTGAGAGCACTAGATGGATTTAGGGCTTTTAAACATTTCATTCGAACAAGTTGTAGACGTATAGTGATTAATTTGATGTGCTTGTGATGTTGTAGGACTTTTACACTACGGTCGAGTTTAATTTGGCTTGAACACGAAATACGTTGCACGGATTAATATTATTATTAATATTTTTCTTGAAATAGGAGTATGCTTGAACTGGTCCAGGTAGCTATGCTGGATTGCACACATGGGTCGAGTCAAGGAACTTGATGCATTGGGCCATCTCTTGTTATATGATGACTAGTCGTATGCTGTGTGCATAAGACCAAACCCAAGAATCCTTCATAATCAATTCTTTAATGTAACGACTGTACTACGTGTTAAATAATTTACAATGATAAACTGCAAGACGTGAACCCAATGCATTGTTTGGTACAATGCATAGGGTTCCCTTACTTGGTTGCTAAAAACCTTATTTTAATTGTTCTCTATATACATTCTAATTCTGTTAGCTACTTGAGGACGATCCTCAATGATTTCAACGAATTTTTTGGTGGTTGTTTGCGACTGCTATGGTTCTCAACGGGTTTAGGCTGTTCCTTTATGCACCCTTGTTCCTCTCATGTCTCATCACAGCTAACCATGTTATTAGTTCGCAGACTACGGCACCAATCATGTACCACACTGCAGCTGCTAGGAAAATTTGCAGGAACAAACCAGAGGTGACTTCAACTGGCAGCGGCCCGGCTTTGTTTGCAAATTCGAATGAGTTTGCAGCTCCCAATCCATGCGTCATTCCAGCTAAAACAGCGCCAATCACAGAAACAGCCACAGGGGCTGTTGATAAGATAGCTTTCAGCCAGCCACTTAGTACATCGTCCATCTGAGTCTCAGAAATTCCATGTGAACTTGGATTATGGCCTCTTGAGTCAGTTAAGGGTTCCTCATCATTAGGAGTAGATGTGTAGAAGGGCTGTATGGGAGACCAATAGTCTTCTTCTACAAGTACTTCCCTCTCTTGCTCAGCCTCTATGTCATTCCCTTGTCTTCGCCTTCTTGCTGCTTCAAGTAGTGGACCAATATCTTCGGGTAAGCCAAAGTTTGGCTGCCATCTCGGCGCAGAGACAGGGTAATTTCTATCCATTGTAGGCACCCAGCTTAGCGGCACAATTGCTCCTCTGGATGCACGCAATGAGGCTGAATCGGAATTGGAATCGTAAGGATTTGCACCAACGAAATGATGCCACCACCGACCTGCTCGAGTTTGGATATTCTCTGCAGCTGCCATTCGTGCCTGCTTCTGAGCCCCCGTTTCCTGTCTCAAGTTCACAAATTACTTTAGCATCTTGATCGTCGCTACAAATAGATCCAGACCAGCAGAAATCAGCAAAACCAAGATGCATTGCAAAGGAAGATATTACCTGGAAATGTGGCCTCTTTGATCGCTCTCGCTCCGCGCACTTTTTCAGAAATTTCTCGGTGGCCGTGAAAACGTTTTCAACTCTATGGCCTCCATTCGAGTGCGCATCAATTCCAACAGCGAACCGGGGTTGCTTGGTCATAACAAACTCCAATGCGGGAAGCTTCTCTCTCGGTACAAAACTGCATACAATTACCAGCAGAACTCTTGTAGAACAGTTATAATTCCAGATTACTAGCTGTGGCAGATAAAGGGCTGCAAGGAACTATTGAATACAGGTGGACACGGCGTTGAGCTAGAAAACGTGTGGGATACTGAAGGGCTTGAGACTTACGAGATGCAGTCCACTGGGCAAGCCCGGATTGCATCGTTAACAGTGCCTTCCGAGTCACCCCATTGTCCCACTGCTCGGGCTCGGCCGTAACGGGTCTCGATTGCAAATGTATTGGAGGCAATAAGAGCACACTTTAGGCATCCCACACAGTGCGATTCGTCCACAAAAATTGCTCGGCCCTCCTCAGCAGGACCTAACCACTTCGAATATAAGGGTTTTCCAGTATAGCCATCAAATTCAGCTCTTTCAACGCGCTTCTGGACCACAAACAGCAGCAGCAAGGACGTCAGTTTTACTATTCAGATCAGGTGATCAAGGTCAAATGATCACTTCAATACGCAGGCTGCAACACAAGATTTCGAAGTGATACCCACCACATCGTACGCAGCTCGCTGGTTGGGATCCGAGAGCGTGGCGTAAGCGTCGTTAAGCAGTATGGCCATGTCATGACCGATAGGCCCCGCGATGTCCGGATGACATCTCTTTTGCAACCATCTGTACGCTTGCTTGATCTCAGGCATCGACGCATCAGATTTTACTCCCAAGAGCTCATACACGTCGTAACTGTGGTCGATCATCGATCCTTTTCCTGTGTGTGCTGCAGTAACTACACAAATCAAGACAGGAAATTAGATTCCCATGACATAACCAGAAGTATATTCCGCAGATTACGTCATCCTCATGGAGTGAACAGACTTTTTGTATTCCAAACTACAACACCCCAGATCCTCAACAGGCTTGCTGTCGTGTCCTTTTTTGTTCTTCTATAATTTTGGTGAGAGCCGACCCCGTTTATTTTCCTTCACGTGATCACTCGAACCTTGACTGCTCCGTCTCATGTGCTATCACTCAAGCTCTTGAATCAGCAGAAACAGATGGGGGAGCAGAGAGTCTCACCTTTGTTTCTTTGGCACGGATATCTGCGTACACGAAATGCTTTGAAGTTCGTTTCTCGGCTGCAGAAAGGAAGTCGACGAGATCGAAGGCCTTCGACTTTACCCATACTGGAGGGCAATGCTCCCAAGCCTACCGAATCCCAACAACCTTGTAACTGAGCCGTCGCCATGGGTTCCAAATGTCGAGCTCCGCAACGAGAGAGGACGCGATCAGCAACACGGAACCGCCAAGTCCTCCAGCACGATGATCTTTCACCCCCGGGAGAAGAATTCTCCGCACCTTGATAAGCTAGTTTTCAAACCCACACAACCTAGGATGCTTTTACCAAGCCCCACTCCAGCCGATCGCACAAGCACGTGCACAATCGCTCGGTCCCTCACACGCTTCTCCGCTCAGACTTAACCAAAACGCCCCACCTTCTCAAGTCTCATGCTACACTCAAGTCTAAAGCACGAGCTTTACGCTTCCCCGTCCAGCGGCTGCCCGCTTTTATAATTGACATGACCGACACATTCTCTCTCTCTCGGGATTCTCCTTTGTGCGTGAGCCGCTCAGATGGGGGGCTGGATCGACGCCGAAGTAGGAACACCAGCAGCACCAGCGAGGATCCTCTCGTTTCTTTTCGTTTTGTTTCGTCTCGTCTCGCCTCCTCCACCAGTCGTTCCCCGAGGCAATGTGCATTGGCCGCAAGTTTCTGCAGCCGTGGATCCCACGTGGATTGGCGTCAGATGGGGCCTGGATCCAGGCGTGTCGGCGTTGCGTGGGTACGTGGGCATTGCGCGGGGATTCGAGTGGCTGATTTGTGCGAGTGCATGCTCGCGCTGTGCATTGCTGGAGGTGGAGCACACCACCTCCTTGCTTGCCGATGCTTGCTTACTTGTTCGCTTACTTACAGCACATTCATTCATTCACACCTTCATATACTTATTATTGGTTATTTTACATACTATAAATATATATATATATATATATATATGTTTTTGATCATGTGTTTACCACACAGCTTCATGTTTACGGCGCTTGGGATGTTCAACCACCTTGTGGTGTGTAAACCACTTAATGACGGATGTCCAGTTCCGAATTCTTGAGGAGGAGGAGCAGAAACCGACCTTTTTTTAATCAGTTTCATGTGCGATCTCCCAGTGGGCAGGGGCTTGTACCAACTGTTTGTATATGTATATGGGGTATTGCCAATGCCACCACAGGTTTTATTAATGCTATCACAACCTCCCACTCATTCGATATATTTTTTAAGTTTTTATTTTTACTTCAATCAGAACGGAGTGTTCAGAGAGTATATCAACTGTCGAGCCGTGCAGTGTAATAAACACGTGGCGCTCACTCCAGTGGTCGTACACAGGGGGTGTGGCTCAGATGGTAGAGCAGTTGGTAAAGCAGAGCAGAGCGAGCGGTCTCCGTGAAATCCGGAGCCACATACAACCTCTAGATCCGATTTTTCCAGAATGTTAGATTCCTAGTCGATTCAGGAGCGCAATAGTATATGGTGGTCGAAGAGGCGTCATTAACTCTTGGGGATTGTAACGCAACAATTTGCAGTAAATTCTAGAACCAAACTCATTAATCCGATTTTTTGTGGAAGCACACAAATACTTGTGAATCGGTATTTGGTAGGGTTATTGCGTTTTAGAACCTTTGGTCTCTGAATCAGTGGAACCTAACGTAGCATAAAAGTGCGCTTAGGAAGAAATGGATAGGAAGACAAATAGAAAGGCGGGACCGAGTAGTGCTCCGGAAGAAGTACTTTATGCCCTTCGCAGCAAAATCCAGGTGACAACAACGACAGAAGTAGGACGAGGGGACCGCATTGGATCAGAAGCACCTCGGAGAACAATTCAAGACGAATATCATCAGGTAAGCCATCCAACCCTCAACTCATGTCAGGAATCGAAAGACAGTTTTGAGAGTATTGCTAATCTAAACTCTTCGGAAGGGCAGTCAAAGGAGAGCTTTGAGCTTCAACTCCTATATTTTCCACCAGATGGGGAACCCAGGTCGATCCCAGTCCAATACATCAAGGAAGTACCCCCGCTGACCAACGTTATAGACGACACATTTATAATAAGGAATGAAGGGCTCTGTCAAGTTAACTTGGGTCAAACAAGGAACTCATCACCAGCACAGCCTATGCAACACAACATTCCTCAAATCAAGCGACCAGGGGAAACAACAGAAACAAGGAATACAGCTCTAATCCACGGCACGGAAACCTGCCTCCACGAATAGGAACCCATTGTTGATCCGGTTGTTTTGAAACTAGTCCAAAATGCGATAGCAAACCTCAAAGCATACGTGCAAACGAAATGGGACACACCTAGGATTGTCCCACCAATACACCATTTAGAAAGAAGTTTTGAGACTACTAGCACAATTGAAGCCGGAAGCTGATCAGATACTATAAGCGTTTGGTATTGATAAGCCAACCATAAGAGCCACGCAAGCGCCCACTCTTACAACTCCGATAGTCGATCAAAACAAAAATAATTACCACAGGATGAAGGTCAATCTCAGCCAGAGTACAATGCAACAGGTGGAAAACCAAATAATTCACGAGAAAAGCCATACCTTGATAGGATACATGAAGGACCTAGGTCTGCGATATCTTCACGAATGGGCCACAAGAGTCTTTCACATCTTATACTTCTCCATCACCATGCTTGGAAATGGATACTTCTACCTGTAGTTTACTAATAAGCAAGGTAAGACATAAATGGTCACAAAACAACATAAATTTAACAATCAAGATGTACTTTTGACACTATAGAAGGCAGATTTCAACCTTAATGACAATACAACAACCAAATATACTTTCCTAATCTATATGCAAATCAAGGAGCAATACAAAGATGCAACATATATTTAGAATATTTCAACTTCTCTCCAAAATATTTAGCACCATAGGAAAGGTCCTTCCTATGGATCCCACAAAAACTTATTGTAGCAAAGTTTTAGGATCCATAGTTTGTGTTTTAGTTGTAGATATCACCAAACTTCCATTCTATCTAATCCTATTCAACCTAATAGGTGGTCAAAAGAAATACTACATTGAATACAATAAACTTCTATTCAAATGTAATCAATGCAAAAGTACAATCCTTCATGCTAAACAATGTACAGTCACTAGGAGGGATGACTACAAACAATCTTGTAACAAATGAATAAAATCTAAAGATTTAGTGGCTGATTGTCATAGTGATATATAATTATCTAGATAAGCAATGCTCAATAGAAGGTAAATATAAATAGATTGATATTATCTTATGGTAAAGCTTCTTAGAAACTTAATAGATACATATTTGATTTTATACATATTTATAGTTAATTGATAAATTAGAAACTTGGCCAATAAATTAGCCATATATTGCATGTATAGGTAGCTTGTAGTACAAGTTAATGATGTAGTATATATATAGGAAACTTGCCTTATAAATTAAAACTTATGTCTTACAAATTGGACATGTGTTGGGAGTCTTATAAGACATCACTACATAGCTCTTAGTTGGACTCATGTTAGATGTCATATAGAATGTTACTATATAGCTATTAATTAGATAGTATATATAAAGGCAAGAGAGAAGCCTTTTTCACTCTTGTCAACACCTTTTTAATCCTTAGTCTTGTTTCAAGTCTTCTAATCTTCTTAGCTTTGGCAATAGCTATTCTAGTTCAATATATTATCATCTTTGAGTGATTTTCTAGTCTTTTCAAGTGACATAAGAATGTATTGAAAGTTTCTTTCTTTGAGACTCATATCCTTGATACTAACCAACAAAGATTAATTAGTGAAGATTCTCCAAAAATAATGGTCAAGACCTTTGAAAGAAATATTTGCTAAAAATAAAATTTATATGGATGGAAAATAAACCAATTTCACAACTCCAACCTATCAAAGATCCAATATCATGTCAGTCAATAACCTACAAGTCACCTTCACTACATCCTAATTTTTGAAAGGCTCTCGATATCTTACTCTTTAATAAAGGACCAAGACAAGGTTACATAACATCCATACTAGTTTATACCACTAGTGATCATATAATAGAAGGTTTAGTCTAAAAAACCTCCACTGTCCTCTGTGCACCTTATAAATCATACAAACTCTAAGTGAAACAAACTAGAACTTAGAAACAACAAAAAATTATTTGATGAATCAAACTATGCAATGCCTATAGAATGAGATTATAAATAAAAAAACAGACATAATTCTTTGAAGTAATGGACACATGCTTTGTGGTCAGCCAAATAGAGATCTCAAAATAATATCATAGTTTGTGATTGGATAGCTATCATATCAATAGATGAATTCATACTCTCTCCCACTAATTCACTTTGGCCAAAAATTGAGAGAGGAAACCACCTTAGATAACCATGATTAATGGCCTCATTGTAGCCTCATGTAATATCTAATGCCTAAAAAAAGGCTTAGAAGGTATATGCAAATGCTACAAATTTTAGAACTTTATACTAAATATGTATCCAAAATTTGATATTATCATGATGCAAGAATACTGATTTAGTTACATTGATTGTACCAAATAGGCAATTCAATTGGAATTCATAGAAGGACCTATATTTTGAAATGCTATTGCATAATTTGCATACACAGACAATCTAGTTAAAAGCATTGCATTTTTACATCACATAAACTATCCAAGATTATTATTACCAATGGTATGATTGTAAAAGATAGAACACAATATATTATATTCAAACCATCACTTCCTATGAAAATCGAAATATCAAACATATATAGTCTAAATTATACAAGATCTAGATCAAATTTATGGCATAAGATTATTGACTTTTTTTTATCAGAAGCATAATGGTTCATAGAAGGAGATTTCAATTCTACTAAGATATTATATGATAAAAAAAGTAGCATTGATCACCTAAACCATAGCTCATAAGAAACAATGGCTTAAAATAACTTCTTAATCAAATTGGAAGTTCAAGGTTTTTTTTATATGAATGAATTTTAAAAAAACCAAAATTAAACGTCTTATATGAGACAACCAATGCCTTACACTTAGAATAATATTCACTAGAATAGATTGTTTTTACATTAGAGCAAAAATACAAGATATGGGTGGCTTAATTGATATTTAACCAATCTAGCAAGGTATCTCCAACCACTCTTTTATATTCATCAAACAAAAGGCCAAGAAAACTTCTACTCTAAATATAATTCTATAATAAATAACATTTAGAAATTGCATCAAAAAGAGAAACTCTTATCAAAGCATGAAACTATAATATTTTTAATTATTTACATCATATGTGGTTTGATAGAATGCATGCAATATTGAAAAATATTAGAGAAATAAATGCATCTATAGCTAAAAATAACCATTGCAATTACAAAACAAGAATATCAAAGACATCATCTCAACAAAGATAAAGATTGTTGTAAAAGAACTTCTCTAAAGCAAAGTACCAAGCCTTAATATGAACTCAACAAAATTCTTTGAAGACTATTGGGAAGAAATTAGATCCAACATAGTTGAAATTATCAAAGAAGTTCTCTCATAAGGTAAGCTACCTATCAAATTTAATATTAATAATATTATATTGATTCCTAAAATATGAGACTTATTAATGATTATTAATTATTGACTTAT